AAGCTACCAACAACAAGCCCTTTAGAGATTATCTCCACACCAACATTTTTGGAATAACTAACAATCTTGAGGCTATGACTATGAACAAGAACACTGAAGAGTGAATCTTTCTTATGAGGTATATGGTAAAAACTCTAACCCAATAAACAGAAGGGCAAATAATGCATGTAGGAATGGGAACCTGAAATTGAGTTGCATTGGTAATGTATGCTAGAATGAGCACCTGCACTGAGGTGTTGCATTGGTACGGTTGGCTAACTACAGTAGTATAGGTTGGTAGGTCCGTGCTTTTCATAGGAGTTTCCACGTGTTAAAAGAACACCATGAAGTAAAGCTTCCGAGTTGAAAACGAATAATTGTACTCCACAGAACATAGAACTATTTCTTTTGACAAAAAAAAAAACACAGAACTATTTCTTCTTCTTTCTTTCTTTCTTTCTTTTTTTTTTTTTTTCTGGATACGATGGATCTATATTTATTCTATACTAGAAAAAAGGGATATCTAAAGAGGCCAACGGAAAAATTGATGGAAACTGAAACGTAAGGTTGAACCTTGACCTTCCATTCCACCAAGCCTTATAGACTTTAGTGGTGGCCATTGAGCCAAAATCATTGGTTGAACATAGAACTATTTCAACTTACCCAAATAACCCGCAAAGAAGCGCGAATAAGGACACTTTCCAGGTCAGTTTTGGCCTCTTTTTCCTGCAATATTCAGTACAGGATCAAGGTAGCCATATTAGAACTTTGTCATGATCGAGGTGTTTAATAGTAATATGTTGGACTTTGAGAATAAAGAAATTGGGAACTTCAATTTGAGAAACTAGACAAAAAAAAAATATATCTATACAGCACAATCCTCTAGCTCTAATTCGAAAACGAAAAATAAGGCCCCTTTTGAATTTGTTTTGAGAGAAAAGTTCGATTTCCCGAACAATTTTCAATTAGAACGGGAGTTGCTAAGTGCACCAAAAGTTGTTTCTGCAAAATATGGACACATAATTTGCTGAACATGTGAAAAAAGTTGATTTCTAACAATTTTGAACAAAAACCGTAGATTTGCAAAATATTAACAAAGGTTTCCACAAAACCCTCCAATGCTCCACGAGCCATGCAAGCAAACTTAAATGGTGGTGATGAACATTAAAAATCTTCATGAAGTTTTAACTCCAGAAAATCAGCATGACTGAACGGTATCAATCAAGAAATGATAGCATGAACTCCAGAATCTAATTCAGGTAAAACATATATAACACGTCAAAGAGAAGGAAAACTATATTAGTAAACATTAGCAGTTACAAATATGATTTCGGACCTTTCAAGAAAGAATGCAACGGGAACAATGAAAGCAGCGCCAAAAAGAAAACGATAAGCCACCAAAACCCTGAGATCCATCCCATCAGTGGCTGCGAGTTTATACATAATATTGATCCCTGAAAAAATTACCTGTACCACCACCATTAGGATTGTTGCCTTCAACCCGTCACCCACTTTGCTCATGGTTGCCATTCGAACCACTTTTTAGGGTTTGACAGGGTAGAGACGGAGTTGAAGAGGTGGAATTATGGGATGGGAACATATATGATACATATAATATAATAACAAGCTAGCAAATATGAAAGAAACCAAGATTGCACCGACATTTAACAAGGAGATGCAATTGCAATGGGACTGTGTTTTGATTAGGTTGCACATAGATATCCTCCTAGAACACGAGAGCTAGTCGGATACCTAATGGCATTGATGACGCAGGGGATGATGTATTTGATGATGTATGCGGTTTCATATATATATATATATATATATATATATATATATATACATATATATATATATATATATAGGGTTAATTGGGGCCCAGTCCTTTTTTTTTTTTTTTTTTTTTTCCTATTCACTTACAGTCCTTCTACTGGACAACATTCCCCTCCCCAGGTCCATGTTAAATAGAAACTTTTCGGACATGGATTACAATCAATTAATTTTCTGCTATGCTTAATCATATCCCATAGCATGGGTTTTCTGTAAAGTCTCCTTCATTAATTGTTATAGGTAGCATTTTTCTCAAAAACTATACGGATTAAGAGTCTGTTCTAAACTGACTGATTTTAGCTTCTGCATTTGCAAAAAGTTATTTTGTCGTGTTCTTAATTGATTTAAAGATCTAATTTTAGATTTTTTTTTTTGTCTAAAAAAAGCTGAAAATCAGAAGCGGGTTTGGAGTTGCTTTTGGATTCTGATTATAGACTTTTTTTTTTGTACAAATAAAAATACCCTCATAATTTTAGAATAATTACTAAAGTACCTACTACAAGTTAGATAACTTATTCTGCCATATGTCTCTCACCTGCAATGTAATTTACTCAATAGTCACAGCTAGTTTCTATAAGTAAAGTAATTAATTATTTAAAAAATTATTAAATCAGCACAAAATTATTAATTGATTTTTCAGCATTTCAAGAATCAATTACCTGTTCTAAGGACCATTTAGGCATTAATTTGCCAAAATCAGCTTTTTTAAGGACACCTATACATTCAGTAGAATGGCTTTTGTAACAACAAACGAGAACACATAAGTTCATTTTAGAAATGTGGCTTTCAAGAATCAATTCTACAAAATTAATTAGCTCGTTCAAAATCAGAAGCTGTTAAGAACAAGCACTAATTAAGTTTCATCCAATTCAATTTGGATTTGGCCTTCAAGACAGAAAAAATTCATCTATTTCCACAAACAAAAGATAACATCAAAGTGATGAAAACTAAAAGCAATTTTAACAACAACATGATTAAATTTGCCCAATATGTACATTGACTACTCCTACGTGTTGGCTATGGAGACTTGAAGCATTATTGTAACAGCACAGCAAATCCCTTTAAACGGTTAAAGGCTCGATCCTTCTTAAATTACAGAGTTCTTTTTATGGTTAGCTGTAGCAAACACTTGTGACCTTGGAGCCTTTACTTAATTATTATTTTGACCAGATTTTAGAGCTCACCTTGTACTATTTTAGTCGCTTTAACCAATTCCTGCACTTTATTAGGCATTCAGTCAAGTTTAAATGCTACACGAGGCCACTCGGATTTACGACCTCTATTTCATCGTACTGGAATTATAGCCTCAATACAATCGTATTTAATGGGCTTGTTTGATGGTTGTCGTTTAATAGCACATTTAGGCCAAATAAAAATTAGCTGTATTTGGCATGGCTCCCTGAAAATTTTCCTCACCGTGGATAGAATGTCGGAAACAGCAAATCGTGCCCCTATATAAACTCGAGTTTACCAATGATTCGATCACCGTGATTTGAGTAATCTCCTTTTCTCTCTTGAGTAACTTGCTCAATCTTTCTCTCCTCAAAGCCAAATTTGCGAGAGAAAGGTTTGCCTGCGCATCAAAGAAAGGGAGAGAGAGAGAGAGAGGAAGGGATTGCTTCTGCATCTGTCGTTGAAGAAATACTAGAAAAAAAAAATGGGTGCCTGTGCTAGCGTTCAAAAGGGCATGAAGGAAGAGGCTACAGCTCCACCACCGGAGCCAGCCAAGGAGGAGACCACCACCGAGGTGCCACAGGTCCCCGCCCTGGAAGAAAAGAAGGCTGAGGAAAGTGCTCCCGCAGAGGCAGTAAGTGAAAAGCAGCAATCTCTCACTAATTCTTTGTTCAACGAACGCATTATTACGTACAGGATTTAGATGCCCTCAGCATGTATTATGATCTAGCTACTTTGTAAATGCAAATGATATGATCCGAAAGTCTCTCTCTCTCTCTTTTTTTATTTTTTATTTTTTAATTTTACGTGTGTGTGTGTGTTGAAAGGCACCAGCCGAGCCATCCACGACAGAAAAGGCTGAAGAACCAAAAGCAGAAACCCCGGAAGAGCCGAAATCAGAAACACCTGAAGAACCAAAAGCAGAAAAAGCTGAAGAACCAAAAGCTGAGGCAGCAGAGGCCGTTCCTGAGAGCAAGCCGGCTGAGGAACCAGCCAAGGATACAAATGTTGCAGAAGAAACAAAAGAAGAAAGCAAAAAGGAATAGGATGGACGACGTTTTATAAATTCTAGCAACTCATGATATATTTTTCAATAATATTATCTATAGGGTGGGAACGGGGGATGCTGCTAGCACTAGCAGTGAAAAGAAATGCGGGATTTACCGGTGATTGATTTAAGTCGGTGAATATCTGTTTTTGGGAATGGGTGTGTACGAATTTCTTGTTTTTTGACAGTTGATAAATTATTAGAAGAAGTTCATTTCAGGTCAATGTCCTTTATTTTTCTTTTTCTCTCTGCTTCTTCTTCGTCTTTCTAGTATCGACTGCAAACTCGCTCTTTCCACTCTGAAAAAGATCTGCTGCAAACTACATACGCATAAGTCGGCCAGCTACACTACTATATAAGCATTCACATTTCTGGTCATCCGGTCGGACGGACAACTAATCAGATGCGAAATACGACCGAGTTTGAGCCTGAGTGCATGTGAATGTGTAAAAACGGGGGATTCAACAAAATCTAATTTCTATTACCCTTTCAGAAATACGTCCCGTAATGTACCAAAAGATAACACACACTCCTACGAACCAAGTTGTATATACCCAACAATAATATAGTTATCAAGATAGCTATTCAGTAATTACTACGGGCTAATTTTGACTTCTTCAATGCAGTGTCCTCCATAGCTACCGTGCCTTAGAGAATTAATCAGATAAAATTTCAGATTCCAAGAATTACGTATGAAACTGCATCCGTGGTGTCATTAACTCCAAAAAAAAAAATAGCGCACCAGTAATCGAGCACAGGAAACAATGGCGCTGAATGAAAAAACAATATGGTGACACGAGAATTGTGGAATAGGACACTGAGATGGAGAACCCAAAACTGCCAAATCACGACAGGAATTTTAAGATATAATCCACTTGAGGCAAATTTGTCTACACATAGCAACGCGAAATAGCAACGAGAAGCATGTAGTAGTGAAGCAAATATCTATAGAAATAGCAACGAGATAAAACCGGGTTTTTCCAATTCAAGTACAAGTTCAAGCTAGGAAATTACAGAAATCAATCCACGAAACATCAACTACAAAAAGAAAAAGGAGATACTGCTTAAACATCAGCAAGCCGGTTCCTTCAGAAACTTAACCTGGATAATGACTTTACAAAACTTGCCATCAGTTGCTGCATAAGACTTTCCAAATGCTCATTTGCTGCCTGTGAAATACATTCAACAAAACAACAAGATCAATTTCAATGATGATGCTACTATGCTTATTTGACGCCTGCATTATCTAGACAATATTGTATTGAGACAGTATTCAATCAGGACCTCTTTTCCAGTATTTCAGTTTAACAGCCAACCGTTGATTCTCAAGCCTCATAACCTGATTTTCCAGCCTCATCTTTTCCAACTTCAAGTCCTGTTGTTGGGTGTCCCTGAGAAACTTCTCCAGATCGAGTCTCTGCTCCTGTATTTGCAATTTCTGCTCCTCCAAGTGCAGTAAGCGAGATGTCATCCAATCATCCTGAGACCGGTCTCCCTCACCACCCTCGTTCGTAAGAGAAATCGGATCAGTCTGCTCGTTTGATAGATGATATGCTGATTTTCTATTGCAATCAGAAGCACTCCTGAAACCTGAAACTCCAAAATCTTCAAGCTCTCTCCTTCTTTTTGCAGGCAGCTCATGACTCACATATTGAGAGAGCTTGCCTTTAGCTTTAAGAGCCACTTTAACTAAATGTTGGAGAGACTGATCATGAGGAAGAAAAAACCGATTCCCATTATAATATGAGCACATTTCTTTAAAGAACAACTGTTTGCTACTTAGAATCTTCATGACTTCTGCCACTACTTCTTTAGACAGATCCATTGAGTTCATAAGCTTCGGGTTCTCTACAACCTTACAAGCTGTACCTCTGCCTAGTAAATCATTCAGCCTTCTGTATTTTTTGCTCAAATCATAGAATTTATCCTCACATTGATGTGGTGTTACATGATAACCTCTTTGTACCATGACGTTTGAGATAGCTCTCCACTTGCCTGCCTTTGGGCAACTCACAAATCTAAAACGCTGAACTGCAACATCATCCTCTCCAGTGTAGGAAAGAGCAGTAATCAGAAGCTTTACCATATCATCTGTCCATTTTATCCGCTTGTGTGAAGTTTCTTTTACCCCTCCACCACCTTCAATTTCATTATCTGAACTTTGCACAACATTTAAATGTTCACCAGTACCAACAAAATTGTCTATTTTCTTACCCTCGTTATGTTCAGTCAATAGAAGAGGCTTATCAGGTCCTTGCACTCCAAAAGGCAACATATCCAGGAAAAACTTAGGAGGAAACACAAATCCATCATATGAAGGGTAGCTTTCTTGTTGACCATTGACTGGCTTCAGTAACCACTGTTTTTGCATGTTAAGTGTTTATCTGGCATCACATAAGCACAAGCCAATGAGTGTCCTATATCACATTAGAAAGAACATTCACATCATTTCACATGGAAATTCTACTTTGAAAATACAATTGGAGAAAAATCCCAAAGCAAGAAATTTTCCAAATTAAATGTCTCGTGTGCAAGATCATCCCCCACGGTTGTGTAAAACAGCTAAATAAAATTTTACAACAGTGAAAAGATATAGCACTTAAGATTATAATGAAAGACCTAGATTTTCATAGACACAAGCAAACATCTATGCTTGATTTCAAGATAAATGCTTGTGCTGATGAAAATGTATAGAAGAAAAAATACCTTGTTGGCAAGTTCTTCAACGAATTTGAGTCACAAATCGATTCGAAATCTATCTGATGAGGCCAAATAAATCTTCTGCATCATAGAGAGAGAGGAGATAGATGAAAGTGAGTGTTCAGAACATTTCATGTATTCACCTTGTTTTGAACGCCGTGGCGAAAAAGAAAAAAGAAAAAAAGGACGCCGTAAAAGTAGGAATTGTAAACAAGTGTCTTCCCATTTGACAACTGGCTAATGTTTCCGCAACCAGAAGTTCAAAATCATTTAATGACTTTGAGATCACTGTAACTCTCAATTTGTGACATCAGTTCCCTTTTAGAAATGTCTATATTGAGATATAATCATAATTACTTCACATACAATCTGAATTAAGATTAGGAGCCTTTTTTTATCGGGTGGGGGTGAGGAGGAAAGGGAGTATTTTGACATAAGGTTATTAATAAGTTAATCTAGTTGTTACCACAAGCACTTTCATTCCGGTAATCCTACTTTTATGTTTGAAATCCTGTTTACTTACTGAAAGCTACCATGTGAATTGTTAGCCAAGCGACTTTATTTGATCTGTTAGTGAGTACTAAATAATAAACTAGTATCAATATTTTGGTCTAAAAGCGTAGAAAACCAAGTACGACATATAAATTGTCCACTTATGCCAGGAGGCAGTCAGCAGGAACTCTTGGTTATTCAGGATCAGACAAAGCCTATACATCAGAATAAACAGCCAACTTGGATACTTATGAAATGAATTAAGGAGAACTGAACTTCTGATGTATCCACATAACAGAAGCATCATACAAGCTTCCATTAAACATCCAATAACAATAAATGTAGCACAAACAAATGGATTCATCAACGTGCAAATTGACCTATTGAAATAACATATAAAGAGAACATGTATTACTGGAACCATCCTTTCTGATAAAAAACAGGAGAGATCCAATTATTTGAAGACATCATTGAGTTTGTGCCAGTTACAAGAAAACTACAGTTTTGATTTTTATACCAGATGAAAGCAAACAACCATGGGAAGCAAGAAGAGCAAATCGCGTGACTGGACATAGGCATCCAGTTTCAGACTAATTTACAAAAGTACTTTGCGGGCAACTTTTTCCAGAAAACTCTCCAACTTATAAACCAATAGGCATGTTAAAATACCAAGAGACTGCATATGACCAATCTTAAGGGATTAAACTTAGCATGTTAATCTAGACAACAATCTATCATGTTTGCGAGTGTTAAATAGATTACTGCCATCAACAGGCACTCTATGCTGGTCCACACCTGCATTTTATCCTAAGCAATTAGAAGGCAGTGGCAATAAGAAATGCTTGAAGCCCCAATAGCTTTGCAATTTCAAGTTTTAATCCAATATCATTGGCTACAGTTATTTCTTTTTGACATTGCAAAGACTAGCAGATATTTAATACTAATTCTGTGTTATTTGTCATATTTTGTTAATCATGAGATATAAGAAGAATCTACTGTCAGGTCAAAAGGAACCCTTTAACCATGGTGAACAGACTAAAGGATATATGAGGAACCGTACTCAATGCTGGTTCTCACTGTTGTTTGATCCAATATGGTTTTCCAGGAAGAATATGCAACCAAACCAGATGAGAACCTTAAGCGATACAATCTATCCAGTGGCTCACATCCCTTAGCTGCACGAATGCTGAGAAGATTTATCAGCAACCTGCATGAGTTTCAAAGAGGCACAAAAGACTGAAGCATCATGCATAGACATGATAGCTAACATCACTTAAAGAAGCGGCCAAACTATTCATCCCGTAAACAGTGGCAGAAACCCCCTGTTACCATGTATAGCAATTTAGAATCATGCAAACTAGCAATCCAACTAAAAGCAAAATTAATCAAAACATGAGAGAACATCCACCCTTAATATTTCACAACCTATCTTAATGACCAGATTTCCAGAGAGATTAAACACTCATGAGTCGGGACAATACAATATACACCAAATACTAAATGTGTTGTTTTATATGGAAACAAGATATCCATCAAGGATAGAAACTGCCACACCACTAATATGTCTTCATAAATTCCATAAGAATTTTAGATGTGCATTCAGGGATACAAATATCTTAATAGCTCCATAGATTGTGCCAACCAAAAGAAATCAAAGGAAGACAAATTCAAATATGTCCAAAGAATACAATTCAGAGTCGACAGGATCAAACCCCAACAAAGACTTAGCCAAAAAACTGATGATTGGCTACTTACATTCAGCGTCTTTTACTAGCTTTATCCAATGACAACCATAATTCTGAAGCATAAATTTCCATCATTATCCTTTTCCAGATAAACATATTTAAACTATTTTCTGCCTCTCTTTTTCTGGGTGTGTTTGGATAGTAGATTATTTGGAATAATTTTTTTTTAAAAAAAATACTGTAGCACTATTTTGATGTGATGTATGTGAGATAAAAAGGTGTTTGGATAGAGTAAATCACTTAAATGCAAGCAAATTTGTTACTCCAGTTGGTATCGGCAAATAATGCCAAATAAACTTTAGAAAGTCGAGTACCTCTAGGGAAAAGGAGCCTCTACAACTATTTTTGGAAAAAAAAATAAAAATGAGATTGAATTGGACAGTGAAATGCAAGTTTCGATAATCAAGATTCTTTTCCTTCTTTGTTTTTTGCATCTTGTTGAAAGAGAACCTATTAAAAGACAAAAGGCAGTGATAAATTCAAGTGACAATAACATTACTACCTATTGTATGGATATTTAGCAATCAATTTAGACATGCTTTAAATCAAAACACAAAGTTCCCAAGATTTTTAATTGATGATGCTGTTAAGCTACCAAATTGTAGCTAATATCAACAATCGACTGACATAAAGGAGAAAAGAAGGTAGTTCGATGCAAAGGATACATGCGTTGTGACTGAGCTCAACAGCTGAAGATAACACCAGAAGAGAAAAGAACAAAGCATGGTGAGCTGGCGAGACATGATGTTTAAAGATATAGCAGAAACATGAAAAGCTTACATACCTCCCGCTTTCTCTTCCCAAGAAATGAAGAAGGGAGAAAGACGACATGCGTTGTAGTAAACATAGAACATTGTAGAAATCACAACTGGTAAAAAGATCCCACTGCTTCAAGAGTAGCATCAATCACATTGAACATATATTCATTGAACACTCAATTCACAAGGTTTTAGCGCTAAAAAGTGACAAATACTATAACAGCAAGCAGATTACTCAAAAACAGCCAAACGGACCCAGAAGTTCAAGGCATATCTTGATGCAATGTCAATTCTGCCTTATTGCTTAAGATGGGCAATGATTTTCCACGTTGTTTTAATAAAAATCAGGTTAAAAAATATAGATGAAGTATTATAATAACTGGAAGGTCTGAAACCCCATCCATACATATCATACCATCAAGTACCACGTCCTTAACCATGGATTATCCCCGAGAGAAGGCAAAATTTTCAGCTCTTCTGCGTTGCTGTTCAAGTGTCACAAAGACATGCTGAACAGGTTTTTGCTAAGGAAGGTTTCTGAAGCTTCATAATAACAAAGCCAACTTTATCTTTTGCAAATCAAGTAAAAGAGAGAAAAAGGGGGAAAAATGCATTAGCCATCACTGCAGCTAGGGCTAATTGACATTAGTACCAATGGGGGCTAGTATCTGCCATGAGTGATTGACAAACCATAGTTGCTGGTAGAAACAGTTCAAGCCCTAAAATAAATTAACTGGTGATGAAAAGAATGAGCTCCAACATCATTTTAGAACAGACGAAAAAAGCCTGGCAGAATTTTCCTCAAGTTTAAAACACAGCAATTTGGGACTAACATCAATATAGTCGTAGGAAATATATTGACAAATAGCAACCCACTATTCAAGAAAAATAGTGAAACAGAGAATTGAAATTTTCCGATGTACCAACTTCAAATCAGCTAAACCACAGTAACTAAGACAAAACAAAAGCAAAAAAAATCTAGTCCTGAAGCACCCTTCTACTACATATATTGCTTGGCACCAAGTCGAGGTTCATTTTCTGTTCTAAAGTGTTCCATTACAAAGGAACAGACTTCAATATTCAGCTAAACCAAAGTAATGATGCAAACACCATGTATCTCTTCCTCTAACTCAGAAGCACTTCCTATGGACCACTGCTGGACCAGATTCATCGTATTCGCTCTTAGTTATCCACATCTGCAACATTTAAATGATACATGTAATCCATACAACAGCCATCTAAACTAACAAAATGATGAAGAACATATTGTCCAAAAACTCAGAAAATCTTAGCGTACCTGCTGGAAGGTGCTTAGAGATGCTAATATCGACCCACCAATCCAGACACTATATTTTCGTTCAGGAGGAGCCACAACCTTTATCTTCATGCTACTGGGAGCAAGAGCAATTAGTTCCTTACTCATGCGGTCAGCAATTCCTGGGAACATCGTTGATCCACCACTCAGCACAACATTCCCATACAGATCCTTCCTGATATCAACATCACACTTCATAATGGATCTGTAAGTTGTTTCATGGATGCCAGCAACCTCATTTCCAATTAATGCTGGCTGGAATAGAACTTCTGGGCAACGAAACCTCTCTGATCCAATTGTAATCACTTGCCCATCTGGTAACTCATAGTTTTTCTCAAGTGTAGAGCTGCTTTTGGCAGTCTCCAGCTCTTGCTCATAATCATAGGCAACATAAGCAAGTTTTTCTTTCACATCGCGAACAATTTCTTGTTCAGCAGCCGTTGTGAAGACATACCCCCTCTCAGTCAAAATGGTCCTCAAATACTCCGTTAAATCACGACCAGCAAGGTCCAGCCGCAGGATTGCATGGGGCAGTGCATAACCCTCATATATTGGAACCGTGTGGCTAACACCATCACCAGAATCCATGACAATGCCTGCACAGAAAACAAAATTATGCACCAAGGACCAAAAAGAGAATGTAGACTGAATGAAAAATGACAAACTAGAAGTCATGTCCACCTTGCTTCCCAAGCAAATAAAGATATTTTATAATTGACATCTATTTGGGGATCATTCCCAAGTTTTAACCACAACCAGAATGACAGAATACAAAACCAAGTTAAAAGAAAAAAAAATTGTTCATCCACAAACCTGTTGTACGACCGCTGGCATAAAGAGACAAGACAGCCTGGATAGCTACATACATGGCAGGGACATTGAAGGTTTCAAACATAATCTGGGTCATTTTCTCCCTGTTAGCCTTGGGGTTTAACGGTGCTTCAGTCAATAGTACAGGGTGCTCATCCGGAGCAATGCGAAGCTCAT